TTAACACATTGCATGCGGTATCAAAGTTTAACGGATATTATATGAATTTTGAATTTAAATAGGTCAAAATAGATATAATGCGACACAAATATTTTAATGCTACGAAGCAGCTTCTATTGTATTGCAAGAAAATGTATTTAAATAAATGTAGGATTTAAATAAATCAAAGTTCAACGGATATTATTAGAATTTTAAATTTAAATAGGTCAAAATAAATATAATGCGACACAAATATTTTAATGCTGCAAAGAAGCTTCTATTGTATTGCAAGAAAATGTATTTAAATAAATGTAAGACTATACTTCCATAAAATAACTTACCTTTTTAAAAAAAGGTAAAAAAGCGCCAAGTAAAAATATTATGATAAAAAAAACAATGTTATTTTTTAATTACTAAGAAATTGTCCCACAAGAAATTGTTCTACAAAATTCAGTTATATAAAAAATTCTATAAAATAATTATGACATCAAAAAGCTGCGCCAAATAAATAAAAATTAAAGTATATAAATAAAATCAGATAAGAAATATATATCGGCTCTCAATATTATTAATAATAATAATACATGAATTTTAAATCGGCCAATAGAGCCCAAGCGCGAAAAATTAATTCTTCGGAACTATATCTCTTGGTTTGAGATTACTAAGTTCCATATATAAATTAATCTTGAACTTACATATGGAGAAAGATAAACGAGAAAAATATAGGTCCGAAAAGTCGCTGAAGCGGGAATCGAACCCGCGTCTTTCACTTTCCGGGCGACTGTTCTTACCAACTAAGCTATTCAGACCCTTTCGATCCTATATTTTTCATTTGCCTTTTTAGTAGATGTTAGTAAATAACGCTTGGGCTTTATTGGCTGATTTTAAATTTATGTATTATTATTATTAATAATATTGAGAGCCGACATATATTTCTTATCTGATTTTATTTACGCCTGGACCTAATCATGGCGTTATTTACTAACATCTACTAAAAAGGCAAATGAAAAATATAGGATCGAAAGGGTCTGAATAGCTTAGTTGGTAAGAGCAGTTGCTCGGAAAGTGAAAGACGCGGGTTCGATTCCTGCTTCAGGGACTTTTCGGACCTATATTTTTTTCGCCTATTTTTCTCCATATGTAAGTTTGAGATTAATTTATATATGGAACTTAGTAATCTCAAACCAAGAGATACAGTTCCGAAAAATTAATTTTTCGCGCTTGGGCTCTATTGGCCGATTCAAAATTCCTGTATTATATAAATAAAGTTTTATTATTTTAAATATTTAAAAAAGCTACTCAGCCATATATTTTGTATTACTTTTGCAGATTCTAATTTTGCAGATCTAATCTAGTCAAAACGATTTAGATCTTGTATTAAAAATTGATGTCATTTTAATGTCTCGACCCGGGCCAAATTTTTCGACTTTTAATCCTTTTAATATCAGGACTAAATCGTTTTGACTATGCATCCTTCAAAATACAAAAGTGATTCTATATATCAAATCAAATAATAATTTGCAAAATTGATACAAGTTTATATTTGGCTGACAAGGAACGTTCGGTAAGTTGAAAATTTTAAAAATTTGAAACTCAGCACAATTTTAGGGTAATAGGTCTAATAACGAAACCATTTTTGTTACTGGTAAAAATAGGTTTAGAGGTGCAACCAATCGTCGAAAAATCTGTTTTTACATTCCGAAGCAAATATCGTCGAGACGAATAGAAATATAAAAGATTTCAATGTTATACAAAAGTTTGGCTTCAAATGTACTTTACAATGGCGTATTTGGATTTTTAAAAAATGATATAATTTTTCAAACTATCCTTTCCCACTCAATATTTTTTTATATTTTGAGAAAATTTTAAAATTATATATATTTTAAAGCTTATGTATTACGCCAAATTCAACTATATATGTATAAATATAATAAAGTTATGTTGCGGAAATTAGTTCTTGAGAAATAAAATAAAGACGAAATACGAAAGAGAAAAAAGTCTGTTACTGCTTGATTCATGGACAGGACATTATTTGGAACAATTAAAAGAATTTATTCTGACGAACAAAAAAGTAAATATTTTAACAATACCAAAAAAAAAAAAAATAGTTTTGTATAACTTTTAAGTGTTTTCGGTTTAAGACTTTGGAAAAATTTTGTTTGATGTTTTTCTGAAAAAAGGTAAGAAAGGCGCCCAGTTAACGGCATGCCAGTAACAAAAAATTACCCATGCAAAACTCATGTAGAATTCTATGAAAAATTAATCATTGCAAATCTAAAATCGCAAGAAAGGCGTAAAGAGCCGTACGCGGATGTTGCTGCGTACATTTTCAACGAAACTAAGTTTTCGTTGGAAATAAACCGTGCACAAGGCACGTATTATTCTCGGTGTACTACTAAGACTTAAAATTTTTGAAATAATCTCATACTTGAGATTTAATTTCAAATACCCCCTAACCCCCCTACGGAAATAAATAAATAATTGCGAGAGAAAAATCTAAATCCAAAAGTCGCTGAATCGGGAATCGAACCCGAGATCTTTCGCTTGCCGGGCGACTGCTCTTCCAACTGAGCTATTCAGACTCTTCGATTTTATACCTTTCTCTGCTTATACTCTAAATGATGCCTATTTGCCGGCGTGTTTACTACCAAGACCTAAAAATTTTAAGTCTTGGTAATACACCGAGAATAATACGTGCCTTGTACACGATTTATTTCCAATGAAAACTTAGTTTTGTTGAAAATGTACGCAGCAACATCCGCGTATGGCTCTTTACGCTTTTCTTGCGATTTTAGATTTATATTTAATAAATTACAGAGCCGTAATTTAATCTTAGTTGTTAATCATTGCAAACTCATGTAGAACTCTATGAAAACTTAATCATTGCAAACCCATGTAGAATTCTATACAAAATAAATCATTGTAAACTTATGTAAAGAATTATATGAAAAATTATCTATTGTAAACCCATGTAGAATCTTACTACAAAAGTAATGACATAAAAAAATTGCACTAAGTGAAAGTAGAAGTGAAACTTGTACCAGTGGAAAATTAAAATTGCAAACATATATAGAGTCGTACAATGAACTAGTAAAAATTTAAAATTGCGCAAATAAATAAAAATTTTTACAAAAAGTTAAAATTTGAAAGGCTATTTCCGTAGGGGGGTTAAAGGGGTATTGAAATTAAATCTCAAAATATGAGATTATTTCATATTTAAAATCTTGGCCGTGTCCAAGTAAAAATTTGGTGCCTTGTGCACCGGTATTTAATTCTAACGAAAAATTATTTAGTTTCGTTAGGATAACGCATTGTCATCCGCGATTTGGCTCTTGTTGCCCGTCTTATACGTTAAATTTATATTTATATTAAGAGCCTTGTTAAAACTCTTATATTTAAAATTTGAAAATTTATGCAAATTTATAATTAATATAAAATAAAAAAATAAAACAAATGATGTGGCTAGAAAAAATAAAATTTTAGTTAAAAAACTTGGCGCTCTGCTAAATAATATTCTAATGATATTAAAATTTAATTATTTGTTACTTTAAAACTTATTGCAATTAAAATATATTTTAATATATAACGATAAAATTAATGAAGTCGCCAGTGATGAGTAAAACCATACAAATTTATTGAAATTTTGACCTAACTGGCCAGTACAATTTAATTACAGAAAACCTATTTTTTCTGGTAGATATCTAAATTTCCTTTTTAACCACCCCCTTCAGTACAAAATCAACACGATTAGAAGTTTAGTCGACAAAGCTTTATTACTCTCAAATGAATGCTTTCACACTAATAACATCAGAATTATTACGGATATTTTGGTCAACAATTGCTTCCCGAAACCTTTCATTGAACTACATATTGAGAAGAGAATGAAAACTAAAACACCGTAGAGAATATTTGATGGTTAATGACAATAGATGTAAAAAGTTTAATACATCATTGTTACCGATACCTTATATAAAAAACTTGAGCGAAAATCTGAGTATTGCGTTAAAAAAATGTGACCTCGACATTGTTTATACTATCCCGAAAAAATTAAATAGATTAATCAAGAGAGGTAAAGATAAGATCAATCATATGAAAAGAACTGACGTGTATCTGATAAAATGTAACGATTGCAATGTAACATATACAGGGCAAACAAAAAGACAATTAGCTACACGCGTAAACGAACATTGTAGAAATATTAAACAACATCGTAGCAATTTTAACGTAATTAGCAAACATCGAAAAAAATATGACCATGATTTTAAGTGGATGGAACCTAGGATTTTGCATTGCGAAAAACATAGAAAGAAGAGAGAATTAGCGGAGATGTTTTTTATTAAATAATATAAGAATAACATTAATTTGCAAAAGGACACAGAAAATCTAAATCCGATTTATGATAAGTTGATCAACAGTATATGATTGTCTATTTATTTATTTATTTATTTCGTTGTATTGTCAAACTTTGATATTATTGTTTTTAACGTTTGACTTAAATTGATTTATTTGTCTCCGGTTTAACATTAGTAATTTTACTGCTGTCGAATCAACATCTTGAAAGGTACATTACATTTTTTTTATATTATTTTAAATTTCTTTGTTAACAATTTTGTAAATTATTGTTTCATATCTTAATCATTGTATATTTTTATTGTGCAGTTACACTTGAAAAGGACCCGTACCTAAGGGTCGAAACGTAGTGTTTCTAATTGAATTGTATTGGCCAGTTAGGTCAAAATTTCAATAAATTTGTATGATTTTAATATATATTGCAATTTTAATTTTCCACTGGTACAAGTTTCTACTTTCACTTGGCACAATTTTTTTTATATTATTACTTTTGTAGTAAAATTCTACATGGGTTTAAATATTTTTGTTTTCTTGTTTTTAAAATATTAAGCAATATTATTTAATATATTTTTATTTAAAAAGCACTTTATTATTTATTTTTGTTAAAAAAATTGGAAAAACAAAAACTTTAAAACATAATTTAATAAATAAAAATTATAAAATCAACTTACAGAGAATTACAGACGTTACAGCTAATTTTTGAAAACTTTCTTTTTCTTTGCCCCTTTCCATGAGTAAGACATACCGACTTCGTAGGTAAAAATGCGATACATAATTCTTTGAACGATTTCTTTAACGGTACATCCTTCAATGCGACTTAAATTTTGAGACTAAAACAATAAGATCATTATATTTATTTATATTTTAAATATAATAATATAATATAAAAATATAAAATACAAATATTAAATATTAAATATAATATAATTTTTACCGATCTTTTTATAAATCTTGAAATTATATATATAAAATATATATATATATATATATATATATGTAAATATATATGTAGTCTTTATAAAATATTTAAATATAATAATATAAGATACAATTATACACACATATAATCAAGTTAAAATATTCTTTTTACTAAATTGAGTATAAATTATCTTATTAAAATATATATATACATATAATTTGTCATACTATTTATACTTTATTTACAATAGTAGAAAGAATATTTTAATTTCTCTTACCAAAATTGTTTTATTATTTTCAGATGTCATTAACCAGTTCTCCAATTCAGCCAAAGAATTATCATTTACAGGAAATGATTGCATAATTTCGGGAATTTCATTACATACAACATTTTGTACTAGATCTGCTTTATTTTTAGTAGAACATTAATACCTTCGAAAATATCATCCATTTTCAAACTGAGAATGTGTAATTCTCTACAAATCCGTTTTCCAAATTCTAAAATGTAAATAATTAATTATAAATTATTGTTTAGTAATATTTTTTTTAATATTTTATTTACATATATATACCATTTTTTTAAATTTTTAAATTGTATTTATTTTATTACAATATATACGTATATCTTATGTAATAAATTATAATATATTATACGAACTATCTTTCTTACCAGAATTTAATTCCAAAGCCGGGTTTTTATGATATGACTCAACAATATTAGAAATAGAAGTACTAGTACCAGAATTAGAAATAGTATCAACAGTAACTTTGAACTTATGAGTGTTATTTTCTATTTGATTTTTCTTTCCTAGAAAAAATATAAATTAAATATATATCTTTTTACATATAATTATATTCTCTTTTCTACATTAATAGCTGTTACAAATTTTAAGTAAGTACTGGTTTAAAGCTATATCAAGAAAAAGTGCAATTAAAATCTTAAATTTTTCTTATTTGTTTTTTATATGTTTTCTTATATTTCTGTATTTTTTAATATTAATTATTTTTATTATAAATATTTTTTACAAAATATAATCTTAATGAATTTTTTATTACATAATTATAATATCTTATACCAACATCATATTTTTACTTACTATTGTTTGAGTCAATTTGTTCGTTAAAATTTGGAACGTCAGGATATAGTGCATCATCATCTGATGATGATCTATCTATTTCAGAGAAGGACGATTCACTTTCAGATTTGTTATTGCGTTTTTTAGTTTTTGTATTACGTTTTCTTTTCTCTTTCAACTCTTCATTATTAGAAGTAAGAATGTTTGTACTTTTGGTTTTGTTTGCCTTTTGATGCGTTTTTTTATAAGTGTCTGCAAAATAATAATTATTTAAATTAGTATTAATTAAAATTAAAGTAACAACTAAGTATATAAATATATAAGTCGATTAAAATTTGATTAAAAAATGAAAAATAAATACGTAGTTGTATTTTTAATTAAAAAGTAAATTATCTTAATAAATAATATATATATGACTATTACTTATGTAATATAATTGCTATACATATATAAATATATACAAAAGATTTATAAAATATATATTTGTTACACAAATACACAATATAGTGTGTGTGTGTGTGTGTGTGTGTCTGTGTCTGACAATTTATATATACTTTACCATAAGTGCCCAAACTACTCGCTTATATTATTAATCGCTTATTGTACGAGAAAATGTGATCTCGTATGCGTGATGCGAGTATTTTGATGTCCGTAATTCTCTTAATTGTATTGTCTCGCCAAACTGTGATGTGACGGGGAAATCCACGTAACATATGCAATCAAATTTAATTCTCAAGATCGAGATTTATTGTTGCGGTGCCGAGTAGATCGATGTACAATGTTCGTTCGTTCGCTCGCCGGTTGTTGTGAAGGTCTTACTTGTTATTCGCGCGACTGTTGTAACAGAAGTATATCACGGACACATCGATGGAAACCGTCGAGGCTCATTTCCCCACTCGTCCGTGTTTTCGGAATACGCCGAATTTCACCGAGATGATACGAGAACGAAAACAGTGATATCACCGCGATCGGTGTCCGGCGTGAATCATATAGGTCGTATATCGAACACTTATATTATATTAGATATTATTAAAGTTATGTTGAGCAATATTACTTTCCTCAAGCACGCGATGTACATATAACTTGCTGTAAAGGCTGAGCTGATTTACGAACTTTCTTCTTTAATTGTTGCATATAATTTTCAAAAGGAAAAGCGCTAAAATTGTCAAGTGAACCATATAATTTTACACAGTCGCTTAAATGCAAAAAGTTATGTATGTTGTGTGATACAAAATCCGGACCGTAAATTTGAATAGACTGACAGACAAAGTGTTTCATCAAACTGTGAGCATATATTACATAATCTTCATTTCTCGAATAACATTGACTTATCATTATAGAACTAGCAAGACTTAATGTTATGAAATTATTATAAATTTTAGATGATAAAACCTTTTTCAAAACTATAGGACCAGAATAGAGCAAAAAAAATCTATATTCCGTGGCTTTATATCTCTTACACTCAATTATAGAACGTGTTTTTCTAAAAAAAACTCATAAGGAACGTATTGCTTTAATTTTAGAAGATTTTCTGAAATTTTATTTACATCGCGAGCTCGTAATTTATGGGGTGGTTTACCATAAATCCAGTCATACCGTTTATGACAAAGGAGTCTTTTCATACCACCTAATAAAAGATTATGCATGTAATCTATTGGTACATTATCTATCATGTTAAAGTTAGGTATATCTAATAGTATACTTTTGCCAATATGATGTTCCGGTTGAGCAGTAGTTCTAAATGTATGATCAGTTCTTTTGCAAAAACGTTCTGTCTCCGTAATACATGATTAAACATTTCACCCTCTTCTTCACATTTTGTGCATGAAAAATGGCCTGTATGACCTTTAATAAATAAAGCAAATGATTTAGCTGGAGAATCACAAATTAACATTAAAATTCTGAATTTGTATCAAAAAGAATTTATTAATATGCCATTAGTTGTTAGATGAATACATTCATTTACAAAATCTTTAAAAAAATTATTAGCAGAATCTGGTTTTTCCGAACCATGATATAAAGCAACTAAAAATATGTGGTTTATAAGAACTTTTATTGATTTGATTGAGCATAAGTTCGTTTGGCAAATAGGCCAAAACGAACTATTCGAACTTTTGCTTAACGGTAAACCATTAGTATTGACAGCTAATAAAAACTCTTCATCTCGTTCTAAGTTGATTTTATGATTTATACAAAATAAATTTATCGTTTTTTCTATACCAAAATAAAAATATGTCCCGGAACCTAAAGGTGTTACAATTATTTTACTAGGTGTTTTTAGTACTATTCTTGCATCTTTTGGAATATTGCTACATCCCGGTATTTCTCGTATTATAGGAAGTAAATTTCCTAACGCCGATATTGTTATATGGGCTTTTACAGCCCATACAGCTAATTTTGAGGTTAACGATATATTATTTTCATTATTATTGCACTCAATATTATTCGGTAATTCTTCGACATCATTATTAAATAACTCATTATTTGGAACATTGACATTTATATCATTATTACAACATGAATTTATAGGCAATATTAAACTATCTACTAACTCATTGTTGTATGGAATATTGACATTTACATTATTATTACAGCATGAATTTGTAGGCAATATTAAACTATCAGTAGCAATATTATTATCAATTACAATTTCTGTGATGTTATTGATATGTGTATTAAAAAATACAGAATTATTATTAATGAGTTCTAAAGATCGATTTAGTTTATTTTTAAGATTTCTATTAAATTTAATTTTATCTTTAAACCTTAACTTATCCATAGTCAAAGCTAGAGGTTAGACTAACACTGAACACAATAAAAAAGAGTGAAAGTTATAAATATGTGTATTTTATTAATATGATTGTACTTACTTTAAAAAAGTTTCGTCTAATACTTGAAAAAACTATGCACACAATTATGCAATATGGAGAAGTCAGCTCAGAGGAGATATCAGCTTTTCTCTCAGCTCTTCAGAGGAGATATCTCTTCAAAAAGATACACCAGCTCACAAAACTTTAGGCGCGAAAGAATATCAGTATTACAATCACACAGCAACAGTACTTCTTGAAACAATTGCTCGTGCTCGCTGCCGGAAATGTGGTAACGTGCACAGGCCTGATCGCGTACATGTGCTGCGCAGAGCGGTTCAAACAATCGCGTGTCGCGATATGCGAGAAAGAGTCTCTGTCTGCCAAAACGCACACACATGACTAGACATGTTGAACACGTGATCAACAGCACGTATCAATTCGTATATATCTCTGGTACTAATAGGGCTCAACGCAACAGAAAAATTATTAGAAATAAAAATAATTATTAAACAAGAAAGAAAGTAAAAGACTTTCTTTTCTCTCTTACTAATTTATAATATGTATTTTTACTCTTTATATTTTTCTATTTTGTGCGTAAGGCCTAACACAATACAAAAATATTATATATATATGTATATATATATATATATATATATATATATATTCAGCATTGCCGACAGCACCAGGTTGATAATCCCTGAACAGGGCCCAGGACTTATAATTTTGCAATTTTTTTGAATAAAATAATTTATTCATGAAACTAATAAAATTATAACAAGAATATGTAATAAGAATAATTTTAAATTGATCTGTGTATTGGTTTAATTTATCGTCATCGAAGAGGAAAGAAGGAAAATCTCCGATTACGTTTATTTGTCAATCATAATTAAAAATATTCGAAAAATCATATGCTTTTGTTTTGTAATTGTCAATCTAATCTTTGATTGACTTTGCACGATAAGAAAATTAGTTATATTTTACAATTTTACATTATAAATGTTGATAAAATTCAAGTTGTGAACTTTGACTTCGGAATCGAGCAAATTCAATCGAAGATAGTATCGACAATTTATCATTTGATCGAATATCTGATTGATAAGAAATAAACATAATCGGAGATTTTCTTTTCCTTCTCCTTTGATGACGCGATAAATTGAACCAATATATTGATCAATTTAAAAAAATTATTCTTATTAGTTTGATGAATAATTATTTTATTCATAAAATAGATTGCAAAAATAAAATCTTGGGCTTTTTTGTACGTGGATATCATTCTAATGCTACGGGCAGTGTAGGCACATTTGAAAATCTATATTTATAATTGTGCAAAAAATTATATATACAGGGTGTTCGGCAACAGGTGGGCCAAAATGTAAGGAGTGGTTCTACATGATAAAATAAGACGAAAATCAAGAATGACAAAATTGCGTCCGAGACTTTGTTTATTAATTATAAATATTTTAAACTTCGCATTAAGGGCGCCTGACGCACGGCAATTTTCCGATATTTTGCGTGCGTAAGGTACATCGGTAGAGTCGCCGTCAAAATACACTGTGACGCATAAGTATACAAAAACTTACATCGTAACAGTTGATGTATATTTTGCAAAATGTAAAATATTTATAATTAATAAACAAAGTCTCGAACGCAATTTTGTCATTCTTGATTTTTGTCTTATTTTATCATGTAGAATCACTCCTTACATTTTGGCCCACCTGTTACCAAACACCCTGTATATATATATGAAGATAAAATTATATATATATATATATATATATATATAATTTTTTGCACAATTATAAATATAGATTTTCAAATGTACCTACACTGCCTGTAGCATTAGAATGATATCCACGTACAAAAAAGCCCAAGATTTTATTTTTGCAATCTATTTTATGAATAAAATAATTATTCATCAAACTAATAAGAATATATAATAAGAATATTTTTTAAATTGATCAATATATTGGTTCAATTTATCGCGTCATCAAAGGGAAAGGAAAGGAAAATCTCCGATTATGTTTATTTCTTATCAATCAGATATTCGATCAAATGATAAATTGTCGATACTATCTTCGATTGAATTTGCTCGATTCCGAAGTCAAAGTTCACAACTTGAATTTTTATCAACATTTATAATGTAAAATTGTAAAATATAACTAATTTTCTTATCGTGCAAAGTCAATCAAAGATTAGATTGACAATTACAAAACAAAAGCATATGATTTTTCGAATATTTTTAATTATGGTTGACAAATAAACGTAATCGGAGATTTTCCTTCTTTCCTCTTTGATGACGATAAATTAAACCAATACACAGATCAATTTAAAAATATTCTTATTACATATTCTTGTTATAATTTTATTAGTTTCATGAATAAATTATTTTATTCAAAAAAATTGCAAAAATTTAAGTCCTGGGCCCTGTGCGGGGATTATTAACCTGGTGCTGTCGGGCAATGCTGAGTAATTATATATCCTGGTGCTGCGGCGGTGCAAGGGGGGGGAGAGCGACATTTATCGCCATCATCATATCCTCGCGTCCGCTGGCAACAACGGCCATCGCATCATGCGAAAAAGGCAGTATGTCCTACGCGGACTTGAACCCTAATTCGCACGATGATAATCCCACGCTCTAAATTGGCGCCACAGAACTCTTGTATCAATATGGATTTTCATGAGATATTTGAATTAAAGAGAAATGTTTTAGTAAAAATATTATTCATCCACTTATTTCAAAAAGATAAAATAAAAAACAAAACTACTTTTCTCAGCTGGAAGAGCAGTCGCTCGGCAAGCGAAAGGTCTCGGGTTCGATTCCCGATTCAGCGATTTTCGGATCTATATTTTTCTCTTGCATTCATTTATTTATTTTCCGTGGGGGGGGGGGGGTTAAAGGGGGTATTGAAATTAAATCTCAAATATGAGATTATTTCATATTTTAAAATCTTGGCCGTGTCCAAGTAAAATTTGGTGCCTTGTGCACCGGTATTTAATTCTAACGGAAAATTATTTAGTTTCGTTAGGATAACGCATTGTCATCCGCGATTTGGCTCTTGTTGCCCGTCTTATACGTTAAATTTATATTTATATTACGGAGCCTTGTTAAAACTCTTATATTGATACACGCTGGCTTAAAAATGCGTTTGTTTACCAACATAAATATATATAACAGAGAAAAGTATAGAATCGAAAGGATCTGAATAGCTCAGCTGGAAGAGCAGTCGCCCGGCAAGCGAAAGGTCTCGGGTTCGATTCCCGATTCAGCGATTTTCGGATCTATATTTTTCTCTTGCATTCATTTATTTATTTTCCGTGGGGGGGGGGGTTAAAGGGGGTATTGAAATTAAATCTCAAATATGAGATTATTTCATATTTTAAAATCTTGGCCGTGTCCAAGTAAAATTTGGTGCCTTGTGCACCGGTATTTAATTCTAACGGAAAATTATTTAGTTTCGTTAGGATAACGCATTGTCATCCGCGATTTGGCTCTTGTTGCCCGTCTTATACGTTAAATTTAAAACTACTTTTATCTTTTTGAAATAAGTGGATGGTTTATATATTTGTTCTATGTGACGAAACGTAAAATAATTTATAGTATTATTGGCGCTATATACGTTTATGATATCAATATGGATTTTTATATTTGAATTAAAAGAAATATTTTTTAGAACAAATTCGTCCACTTATTTTAAAAAGAATACAAAATAAAACTACTTTTATTTTTGAAATAAGTGGATAAATAATATTTTTTCTAAAAAATTTTTTTAAATCCAAATAGCTCATAAAACCCCATATTGATATCATAAATCGTATATAGCACCAATAATACTACAAATTGTTTTACGTTTCTTTACATAAAAAAATATATAAACCATCCACTTATTTCCAAAAGATAAAAGTAGTTTTATTTTGTATCTTATCTTTTTGAAATAAGTGGATGAATAATATTTTTTTTTTAAATTATTTCTTTTTAATTCAAATATCTCATAAAAATCTATATTGATAACATGAATCCCGTGGCGTTAATTTAGAGCGTGGAATTACCACCGTGCGAACTAGGGTTCAAAACCGAGAAAAACTTTTTTTTTGTATAGTATATCAGACATGTTTTTTTTATTATATACATTTATAATTATATATAATTATATATAATTATTAAATATAATTATTATATATAATTTAATATAATTAGTATATATAATTATGTATATAATTATATATATATTATTATATATAATTATTATATATAATTATATATAATCATATATAATTATAAATGTATATATAATTATATATAAATAAAAATTCTCCTGCAATCTTTCAAAGCGAAAGCGAAAGACACAGGAAAAAAAAAAAGTAACATTGAATATGTGTGTGTGTGCGCGCGCCGTGCGGCAACACCTTATTTGCAAACAAATAACAATCAGCCGCGCGACACAACGCACGAACTCGGGAGATGCGCAGTCCACTTTTCGTCGCCGAAGACAAAGGAACCAAAGATGCCGCGACGTAAGTATTTCACATAATCTCTCTCTCTCTCTCTCTCTCTCTCTCTCTCTCTCTCTCTCTCTCTCTCTCTCTCTCTCTCTCTCTCTCTCCCTTTTTTTATCTAATAATTTTTTTTTCTAATTATTTTAGCAAGAAGTGAAGGATACGTCATCCCGAAGAGGAAGACAGCGGACGCGAAGATGGCGACGGCGCCGCTGCCAGCGGACGCGAAGACGGTGACGGCGCCGCTGCCAGCGAACGCGAGGACGGCGACGGCACCGCTGCCAGCGGACGCGAAGACGGTGACGGCGCCGCTGCCAGCGGACGCGAAGACGGCGACGGCGCCGCTGCCAGCGGACGCAAGGACAGCGATGGCGCCGCTGCCAGCGGACGCGAGGACGGCGACGGCGCCGCTGCCAGCGAATGCGAGGACGGCGACGGCGCCGCTGCCAGCAGATGCGAGGACGGCGACGACGCCGCTGCCAGCGGATGCGAGGACGGCGACGACGCCGCTGCTAGCGGACGCGAGACGGCGACGGCGCCGCTGCCAGCGGACGCGCCGCTGCCAGCGGACGCGAGAATAATGATGACCTCGCTGCCAGCGGACGCGAGGATGATGATGAGTATGTATATATCCGGTCTTTTATGTACACTCTGTGTATGTATATTTACACACACACACACACACACACACACACATCTCTGTGTGTTTTTGTCTCTGTCTCTTCTCTCTTTTCTACATTGCATTTTTTCATACATGCACACGTATATAATAAAAATATTTTTAACATTACATAAATAAAAATAATTACATACATGTATGTATGTATGTATGTAATTATTTTTATTTATGTAATGCAGAAAATATTTA